CTTTTCGAGCCAATCTTGCACAATTTTAAATTGGAAAGAAAAAACAATAGGATAATGGTTGAAGGATCCACTGATCATGCCACAATATTGACAAGTTGCGCTGTGATCGACTGACTGCAGTCAGCATGACTATTGCATGAAACATCTGACATCAGACAAGAGAGGACCCCTATCTTCTCAAACTGTGATACAGAAAGAAAAGACGATTGGCTGATGGTGGAAGGATTGAACATCATGCCACAAGACTGACAAATCACACTGTGATCGACAGATATTGCAGTTTACTAATCTTCACCTTACATGTATGTGCAAACCAAGAAATAACTGACATCAGATGAGAGGGGACCTTCATGCTGTGGGGAAAAAAATATTGGCAATAAGGGCTCAAAGTGTGGTGTCGTTTTCTATTCAAACCACGCAAATAGGGCCATTTCATTTTCAAGGCTAAAATGAAAGCCAGTGCAATTTTGGCGTGTTCATTCTCACGGTCGGCAGGACGTAACATTGGCACGAGTAATCATACACAGCCGTGTGGCAAAGGGCATAAAAGGGCAAGCCTCTTAATACTGCACACTGATGTGCAGAAGTTCAATGAAGATCAGGAATGTCTGACTGCAAAAACCTCATCAAAATGCATATTTCTGAAAGTGCATACTTCTTTTTTCAGGCTGTCCAGGTCTTCTCGGGTCCTACTGAGAGCGAATACCTCAGCTCCACACTGGGAAAGCGTCTTGGCTATATCTCTTCCAATACCTGTCACAGGCACACCAATTACCGATTGGTCAGGAAGTTTTTAATAATTTTATTAATATTCATGAACTAGCATAACAATTCAAGTTATCTCACCTCCACCTGTGCCACATGCATGGATGAAGGGAAAAAAGGCCTTATCACAGGCTAAACACAAGTAATTTTAAAGCCTATCAGAGGCATACTGGAGCAGGGATTAAATCAAACTCTTGCTAATATTTTAAGCACAAAATGTGGGTCTGACTGGGCTGGATTATATAAGCTGCAAAGCAAATTTATTAAAGGGGGGTGGCCAGGCCTACATGTATGATCCCTTCGCACAGTTACCAGAAGTTTTTTCTCACTTTGGTCAAATACTCCCACGTATTACCTGTTCAATTGTACATGAGGGTATATTTGACCAAAGGCAGAATTTAATCGATGGTTATTAAGTAAAACCATTGCTTCTGACTGGCAGACCGGGGATGATGCTGTGCAGCAAACACGCAAACACAGGCCTAAGTCATCATCTCTGATCCTATGAAAATTATGTCCTGCACTCTTTCTTTAGCTGGTCGAACAATGCTCCAGATAAATACCTTTGCCAGCTCCTGTGACTAATGCCCTTTTCCCATCGAATCTTATGTCCATGTCGACTCAAATTACTTCGAACTTTGAAGTTGATGTAGAAATGGGACGACTCCTCCTCTTACTTGCAATCGCCTGATATTAACGCCCTCTAGCTAGCTCTGGAGGTTGGTCGATAAAAAAACAGGGAACCTTGCAGGTCAAATACCCAGACGTCCCTTATCACACATTATAAATATACACAGGGATGACTGACTAAATCAAACAAATTTTTTTTCATCACTTCAGCGGCGAAACAACGAAACTGTTAATTCACGGTAAAATAACCACCTCCGTTTTCCAATTCCGAATGATTACTTTCTATTTATGAAAGAGAGATAAGACCGTTTTGGTTGATCTTATTCGATCTGTCCTTGTTAGACTGAATTAGTTTTGCTCAGTTCATGGAGGTGGAAGACCTCCATGCTCAGTTCAGTCATGTCAGTGGTTGCGTTGCACATGTGAAACTGAATGTCTGTGCGTTCAGATGGCATGGTGGAATATTCCTCCATGGGTCAACTTTCCACAAAGTACTCAGTAATCTTTGATTGAGCATTAGACCCTAAAATAAATCAGAATCCGGAGTAATTGCAGAATACCCTGCCACTCTAAAAAACAACCCATGGAATGACTAGTTGTGTGGGTACAAAGTGAAAATCCCTTGAGAAGAGTGTGACACTTTGACCTGTACCTGGCTGTGAGGTTGATCATGCGGGGTAGCGGGGTATTCTGCCATTGAGCTCCTTCTTCAGTGGTTTATCACTCTCAGCCATTACAAAGTGAGGCTAATTTAGTTTCTGTGTACAGGGTTACAAGATTTACTGTTTACATGATTTACTGTGTTCATGTCCAGTTTTATGTCATAATTAATGTGTTTTTCGTAATAATGTGTGTTATTCCTAAGGAGTAATTGCAGAATACCCTGCGACTCTAAAAAACAACCACTGGAATGACTGGTTACGTGGGTACAAGGTGAAAATCCCTCGAGAAGAGTGTGACACTTTGACCTGTACCTGGCTATGAGGTTGATCATGCGGGGTGGCGGGATATTCTGCAATTGAGCTATTCCTAATTAGGGTCCCTACTCGACAAACACTGCTTCTAAGGGACCCCCACTATGAACATCTAACAAACAGATTATTATCAGGTTAGATCAAAAAGAGAGGGGACTGCAACATGGATAACATCGTCTGTTTCCGTTTTCCATCAATCAGCATAAAAAGACTATCAAAAACAAATTCTCCCGCATACCCAGGACCCTTGTGGAATGGAACCATATGCCAGCTGAAACAAGGGAAGTCACAGACATCGATACCTTTAGGCAAAACTTTCTACAGGTATCATTGATACATTATCATTAATAAGAGGCACTCACGACATGTATTAGAGTCAGCTAGCCACCATGCACCTTTAACTTAAAATATCCCATAGTGGAAGTTGTTGCGGGACTTGGAAGAAGAAGAACATATAAATTTACTCTGAAAAATCTGTGAAGAGTAGCTGATTTTGTTGTATATTTAAAACCTTGCTGTTGATATTTGTCTGGAAACTTATCACCACTGTGTTTTGTATTTTGTGTTCGGTAGATCTTTCATTGCAGTTTGACCACTAAGCTTATAGTTGTTGATATCTGAACTCTGTTCATCTTTCAAGATGCCCCACTTGAAGGAAATAGACTCTAGCATTCAGCTTGCAGCAAGTGTACCCATCAGGCATTTTATGTCTAGGACTTTGTCATTCTTCTTTGACATGGCATTCCGGTGCCGCTTCAAGCTCCCATCTATTGTGGCATTTGTTCTGTTTGCCTTTGACATCCAGCTGCAGCTTCAGATCAACGTCAATCACTGATTGCCCGTGGCAGGATAAAGACGAACCTTTTAAAGATTGAAATCAGTCATATTCGTGGGTGCCCAGAAATGTGATCTTGTTCGATTGCAGATTGAAAGGTCACTGCATTGTTTTAACAATGACTCGCAGTGTGAAGGATTTACGGGAGTTAATTTGTGTGTCACGGTTGACAATGAGAGATAGTGATGAGGAGGATGATGACCTCTCTCGACCTCTCAGTTCGCTCAGCATCTTTGGGGAGAATTCTCCATCCAGTAGTGTCACTCAGTTAGGAGAGAGTGTGAATGATTTATCTGTGGCACCTAGACCGCCACTTGAGGGAAAGGCCCTTAAATCCCGGTCGCAGCACCCTGCAGGTGCCCGTCCAAAACAATCACCAGCTACCAAGCATGTTGCAAATGTCAACAATAATGCTAGCCTCGACTTCAAGAAATTTAAGACGCCACTTCCACCGCTCGAGTCGAGACCCTCCTCGGGGAGCAGCGTTGATAGCGATCGGCCCGGAAGTGGGGAGGTCGGGGGTCAAGACAGCCAGCGGGGCGACTTTGATGGCCTGCTGCAGTACATTGACGGCGAAGTGATCGTCGATTGGTTGAGACGAGCCCATGAGATGGTTGACGAGCTCTCCTCCTGGTGTAACACCAGGGACAATTTTGTCACCTTTGCCAACTTCCTGTTGATGGACTTTGCTGAGGTTCAGCGGCTGGAACTCCTTAAGATGGAAGTTGGTATCCTGCACGATGAACTCAGTCAGGTCTTTAACCAGGGAGTGTCGCAGGGCAAAGTCACGCTGACTGACTTGAGTAGGCTGGTTGCGGCAATCCTTCGTGAATACCCGCGGCGTCTATGCGGGCCTAGAGGAACCCACGTCTTTCTCAGCATCCTTGACACACTGTCCTCGGAACGGACTGCTGAATACAAGACATTGCTGACGGATGTAAAAATTTCAACTCGCAACCGAGAGTTCGCTCAGTCACTTCTGGCCATCCGGGCATTCTTCTTGCTCAGTGTGTGGAGTAATGTTGTTAACTTCTATAGGAGGTTCCAAAGTGATGATCCCTTACGTGAACCTTGTCTGTCAGGCGATCCCGTCGTCAAGCCCCTGCCTGTTGTGAGCATTGTGCAGCAACGGGCCTACCAAGCTGTGCAGTATGGATTTGTTAGCGTTCTCCATTATCTGGTCCGCAGCGGAAAGTTGGATGTGGACTCGGTGAACAAAGATGACCGTTCCCTTGTATTTGAAGCTGTGATGCACAACCAGCCCAAAGTCCTGCACTATCTTCTTAGCAAGGTTTGAATAAATGCGTACATGTACATTTAGTTTCTATCTGTGGAGGTTTATTAGAGTTCAAATACATTTTGTTCAACTCAACTGTTGTTGATTTGATATCTTGAATTTCATAACCAGACCAGTATATTGGGCAAGCCAGATATTTCAATTTCTTTGAAACGGTTGTAAAAATAGTTTTAATACACATACATGTAGATTCGTTTGACCGATTAATTTTGAAAAAAAAATCCAATTTTTCTTTTTGGGGAATTAAATTCCATGCTTTTTTCTTCCAGCATTTCTTCCTTTTATTTTATAGCAAGCACAGCAGATTGAACTCAAAAGTTTGTTCTTACGTACATTTGCTTAGCAGTTACACTTTTTAAAGACTGATACATGTACTTGACTGCTTGTTGTTAGTGGGTCTGGTCGGGCCACGCACCCACCGAAACAATACCAGAGATTGCCCATTCCCCCAACCCACATTGAAAGTAATGGAGAGTCACTTTGCGTTGTGTAGTTATAAGGAAATCGATAGCAACTTATTCTCTACGGTTTCCCTCCCATGTACATGCAGGCTCAGCCAGGCTTGGATGTGAACCGTCCCTCCGACTCCGGCAACACGCCGCTCCATGCCGCAGCTAACTGGGGGTACGCTGAAGTAGTTCACATGCTGCTGGATAAGGCTCGAGCCTCAGTGAATGCTCCCAACCCCAAGTGTGATGATGCTACACCGCTACACCTTGCTGTCATGCAAGGTATGTAGAACTAATGTGTTAACAGTTGAAAGCTTCAACTGTCTTTGTTAACTCTCACTTTCCTCCAACCTCCAATTATTATTTGACTTTTCAGATACCCAGGGCAGTCAGCTCTGTCTAGTAAATTGATTTTGTTACTGGCACAAGGCATTGTCATGCTGCTCATGAATCATCACAAAAAGACTTTTTTTGGTGGCTTATTACCCAATATACTTTACTTTTGTTAATAACAAACCCCTCTTTGACAAGGAGAGTATGGGTTTTTGTAAAGGTTCACAGTTGGAGGAAAAAAGGTCCAGAGTTTTATCTGCGTTAAAATCCAGCTCCTGGTCATACGATGGTATGTCGCTAATTTCAAGAGTTCATGAATCATGAAAAGACATTTTGGCAGTCCTTTGCCAAGTAAACTTTTTTTTCTTAACTTCTTCTCTTTTGCCAGGGGGAGTACGGGCCATTGTATGGCTCAGAGTTTGAGAATTAAAGGTGCGGGGTTTTAGGTTCGAGTTAAATCTAGCTGCTTGGTATTTGATGTGTCCTTGTTTATGCAGAAACACAGTATGTTAAGGTGGCCATGCCTCTTTGGGTCAGTTCATTTCCTCTGCCAAAATGGGGCATCTTCCGTCTAGGTGATTTTTTATTCCATTTGGTGTATTTTTTTACCCACATAGGACATACGGCGGTCTGTAAGCTCTTGCTGGAAGCAGGGGCCGACCCCAACGCGAGTATGAATGGCATCAGCCCAGCCCAGCTGGCCCAAGATATGGGCCACGGAGACATCCTGGTCTTGCTCAGGAAGAGACGGGGGACGTATGATTATGAGGAGATGGTAGATGACGACAGCGAGGGACTGATGGAGTCTTGACTTGGCTGTCATTCGGATTCCAGCAAAAATGGCATCAAAAGCCGCAGCTGGATGATGAATAAGTTTTGGCAGTGTTGCAAGAAGTGTTTTTGCATCGAATGGTCGAACCCTTACGTGAGGGACCTTTGAGATCATATCAGCAGTTCTCATGCTGCAAAATAATGCTCTTGCAGCATGTACAAACTGAATGACACAGGACAGATGTGATTGATCGTTCACTTGGCGTGCACTGAGCCAGTAAATATGGAATTACATGTACATACAGGTCTCTTGCTCGGCATGAGAAAATGTCTGCTTGAGAAAATCTTGCAGGGGAAAACACAGGCACACACCTTCAGTCAATAATGAATTTCACACTTTTGCCTCTCCTCTGTGCACCAAGACCAAATGAACATGAATTAAGATGTGTCTTTGGGGATACATACATTTATATGCCCGAGATATTAGCTAGGCTGCGTAAAAGATCATGGTGTATGGAACATACGTTAGCTTGGCAAAACTTTGGCAAAAACCACGATCTTAAAATGACATTTTAGGCAGGAAATGTAAGCACACTTCACATGGACCTTAGTGTCTCCTGTGTTCTTCAAAGGCTAAAAAAGTACCCTTTTATTCATACATGTAGTGTTGTACAGAGCAGAGTGTAAAATGTTGGTCTAAATGTACGCGTACCTGCATTTTTGCCAAGTTAGCCATTGCTTCATGTCGCTCTTGAGAGGTTGTCATCATGTACTCAGACAGACACAGGTACATTCAAAATTCATGTTGGCTTAAATCTTCAATTTATTCACTGCAGCCTTGATGTTCACATCAAAAGTTACTTAAGTGTATGTTATTTCAGATGCTTTTGCATCGTAGGGCAATTTGGTTGTCATTAACAAGCAAGAACATCTGAGTATGCAGTGTACAAGATAAGGAATCTTAGATCGTTGCCTCTATATGCATTATTTCAACCCTGACTTACACATACATGTATGTACATGTAAGAGTGATTGGTGCACTTATCTTTAATATTTTGGAATTTTGCAAAAATATGACACATGACGAACTTAAACTTAAATGTGTGCAATGTTAATGATTTTCCTTCTCTGATTCTTTTATCTTATCAAGCTCGTCTTGAATTTCAGATTGTCATAACTCCCAGAGGAGATACATTTGCTTGCAGTACACCGAATATGTATCCGTAGTACAGTGATCTACAAATCTATGAAGTACTAATAATAATTAGATAAAAAAAATCTGACATGTCTTTATAAAGATGTGCATGTATTTGTGACATGGACTGATCCAGAATCCAAATTTTTTTGTGTGGGGGAGGGGCAAATTTTTTTTAAGGGGGAAGGGGGCAAACGTTGTTGGAAATATATTTTATGTAACCTTTTATGACCTTTGTGAGGGTTAAGGCTACATTTTGTTGCTTTGTTCATGCTTTTTGGACAGAAAAGGGGAAGGTAATAGACCAAAGAAATTACTTTTCTTTACCTTTTAAGATAAAAGTGTGAAAATGGGGTGGTGTGGATCCTCTGAATGTCCCCCATACAACCTCGGAAGTTATTCGTTGGTCATTCCATGTCAACTGGCTTGTTTCTTAACATGCTATAAATGCTTTCATTTAAATTTTTTTTTTTAGATAATTGGCTTTTGCAACAGAAGCAAAGTGAGTCGTAAATGGAGTCATGATCTCTTTTCTGTGAGGACTTTTGATTTGTTTGAACTTTGATTGTTTTGGCAGTGCTTCATACTTTTTTCCTCATGCTGAGTTAACATTCTTTGTTTTTGTTCTAACTGTACTCCCGTTTCATTTTCCCTGTTTCTATCATGATAAATATGTTGTTTTTTTCCATTTTCTTGAAATATACCGTGTGAAATCTGTGTGAAATTAATTAGATGTTACCTCATCTCACAGTACAATGTTTATTAAGTCTTGAGATTTCAAACTGTACACTGTACTTCTCTCATAATTCTCTTAATGTTTTTCAGGAATGTGTGATAACTTGTTATTAATTAAATTTATCCATTTTTCCAACTGAAAAATCAATTTTCAGTTACATGTTTATATTTCTAGCATTTGTGCACCCATTGTTGTGGAAATAAATCTTTGAAAAGAATGTTTGTCACAAAAGACCTCTGTTTTGTTTCGTTTTGCTATTGTTTGTTAGCTTATTTTTTTCACTTGGAACTGAAGGGACAACAATAGTTGCATAGTGCATGAAAAAAAACGAACACACATTCTGGGCGTGCATTTAAAACATTCTGGGTTTGAATTGTAATGATTTAATACCGAGCACCAGTACATTGAAATGTGGCATTGTAGCTTTTTAAAAGCATGCTTTCTTGAAAGCAGTTTTAGAAATCAGACCCTGTTTATTTTATTCCGAATTCCGAATGAAATTCTAGTCTAGCCCCCACTTATGGAAAACGAATCCCCACAGCTTACTTTTAATGGTGAGTGCCCTAGGTGAGGTTGCCCCTTAACCTAGGTTGCCCCTTAAATGGTGTCGCGATTGTTTGGTCTGGTACCTAAACTTCTTTGCGCACGTATAGGCTAATCATGCAGGGTATACGGTAGCTAGCCGAGAGTGTTGCTGCATGTGCTCGGCTCTAGAAGAGAAACACTCCAGCGCCAGCCCCAGTTCTTTTACCGATAAAGTGATATTAATGGTGACATTGGTGTTTTAGTGGTCTTTTTAGTGGAGGCCTGAAACAGAATCATGCCGAAATCAAGACACAAAAAAGTTAAAGCCATCGATCCCTTCTGCACTGGAAAAAGGAGGGCATTATTACTGGCGTAAGTTAACCGCATGGGTCTAGTGTAGGTTATTACTAGGCCCTATATTTTGTGCAAGGTGTCAGGTCAACTCGACCGTTTGCCAACTCGACTCGAGTCAACTCGACTCTTGACCAATTCGACCGTCGACCAACCCGACCATTGTTCCTTCAACCGTAAAGGTCTACTCGACTCTCAACCAACTCGACTCTCGACCAACTCGACTCTCGACCAACTTGATCGTGCAACAGGGACAGGGCATAGAATTAGATTGAATGCATTTTTCCTAGTTCTGGATTGCGCGTGTAATTCGTGTCACTGTGCATGATGTGATCTGTGCATGCGCACAGTGTGGTGACAGATTTTGGGGGTTCGTTTTGTGTGTGCTTCTTCTCAAATTGGGAAAATTAATTTGGAGTATCTCATTGGTACAAGTTCAATTATTGATTGCATTTCAGTTGATTTCGTGGGTTCATTGAGCCAAAATTAGCATCCATATTTTTTGCGATCCGGAACCGATCTTTATTTTTCCCCTTTTGATATCTATTTTTCAAGGAAAGAGTTTGTCTAATAAACCCATGTATCAATCATGTGGTTGAGTTGGCAAACGGTCGAGTTGGTAAATGGTTGAGTTGACTCGACTTTGAAGTCGAGTTGGTCAACGGAAGAGTTGGTTCAACGGTCGAGTTGGTCGACGGTCGAGTTGACTTGAGTCGAGTTGGCAAATGGTCGAGTTGACCTACAACCGGTTGTGCAAAGTGTTGTCCGAAGGCCTATACGGAAGTCTGTCCAAAACAGTTGTTGGGAAAAGCAGGGATAACGCCAAAAAATGGGAAAACTCATTTCCATTGTGGTCTATAACAATCACAAACATACAAGTTGTATAGATGAGCCCTTTCTCTATTCTCTTTTTTTTTTCTGGACAAAAAAGGAAGAGAATCTTTTCCAGAGTGACATTCTTTGTTCCTTTATGTGTTTTGGACAGGAAAGAAAAGGAATATAACAGACCTCCAAAGAATGTCTGCAATCAGGAAGTACCAAGAAGTCTGAAAAACATGCTGGCTGCTACCAAAATGGCTGAGCAGAGACAGAAAAATGGTAAGGTCATGACCTAAGGAGCTTGAAAATCACACATACAAAGGCTGTGAGCTTCTATGGACAAATCCGGGCAGTCGTGGCAGGCAATTTGTGACCCACCATGCTCAAACATGTCAAAGGAGGCTTAAGGCTTCGCTATTGCCTTGACACCAGATGAACATGAAAAATTTCACAACTCTCTCTGTCTATAAATACCGAAGCTTTCCGAGGACAAACTTTGCACCATTAATCACTTGGAGTGTGAAAATTAACAGCAAGGAGAGAAATTTAGTTTCAAACATCACCATTACCTACCCCAGCCTGGTTTTGGGATGGTGGGTCACAGTTTTTATTCTGCCTTGTTGGGTTGAGAAGTGAACAAAACATTTTTAGTTGAAGTTGGTGCTTGTTGGATTTTGCAGGCTTTTACATGTCATTGCCGGGTTCTGTTTGAGGATTCAATGGTTGCCCAGATAATACCATTTCAGGCAGTTTGTTTTATCATTTTGTTTTGGTTTATTTTGTTTTGGGAAGATGTGGAAAAGTTCATTCCATGTAATTTATTCTCTGTTAAATTCCAGTAGGTCAGTTGGCCAAGTTTGGTTTTGTTTGTGTTCAAAATCCAAAGCTGTGTAAAACAGGTCCATTCATATTTTCAGCTGCACAGAGGGTGGGTTCTATTGAGAGACGGCCAGGAGAATCCCATGGTCACTTCATGAAACGAGTTGGCTCCAACGCTGAGAAGAAGTTGAACGAAGTCAGGTCCAAGCTGGAGAGTGACGACATGACAAAGAACAAAAGGGTCAAGACAGAGCAAGCACTCAGGAAGAGGAAAGAGTGAGTTTTTTTTGGGGGGGAGGGAGGTTGTGTGGTGATTGTAGAGACGTTGGGTTGCAATTGAATCAGCTGGCTGGGCGCACAAGCTGCTCCAAGCTGGAAC